GGGTATCTCGTCTCTGATTCAGCACTCATTTATATACTCGGTTAAGTATTCTATAGAGTCCTCGGCCAGGTTTCGGAGCATGTGGTTCATTACATCGTCCGGCCCCGGTTTTGATTGAAGATTTAATTCATGAAATACCGCTCTTATCTCCGCCGTGGTGAATTTCTGGTCTAGCATTGGATTGGCATCTCCCAAGTAATCTGGGTGTCGTACAGGTGGGTTCTGTGCAACGTATAGAGCCTTTAGATCCTTGATTAACTGCTCTTCGTTTCTCTTGTGATTGTGCGTTAATTTGCAAATGGTGTGCCTCTGTTCCGTTTTGTTATTTGTTGGGTCCAAAAGGAACCAAAGCAACTTCCACGTTTGGGAATCTCCGAGCTGCCTGCCCATGTCTCTACAGATCTCTTCCCATTGTTGCTCGTTTAGTTGCCTGCAATAAGCCTGAATGTCCCTGTTAAGTTGCATGATCTTTTTTCGTAATCCTCGTCGGTATCTCTGCTTCCTCCATCTCGCTTGAAGTGATTCTTTCGCCTGCCATAGGTGTATAAGCTTACTGTTTAGCCTGTCGATGGGAAGGTCCGTCTGCACTTCCTGCGTGGGCTGCCGGGCGCTCCTTGGTACGTTTTCACACCAGCTGTTTATGTCCGATGTGGACAGGGAAGATGACTGTCAACAAGCCGTTTTGTTCGATTGAATGACCGAGTTGCATCGTTCTCGCACGGTATGGTCGTCACGAGAATGCTATGGTCACTACCCAGATCGACGAAAGTGTTATGCCACGTTGTTCCCGAGGCATTTTTAGTCATAGTGAGATCGGCGTTGTGTCCTTTTGGGCACTCATACCTAAGCGCGTGTGTGCACTGGGCTCAATGATTAACGTTAAGTTTTCGTTTTGTATGCTTTGCCATAGATATCTATCCTTAGGTGAGGTGAAGCCGTTGCCCCAAGCTTTGTGTGGAGCGTTGAAGTCTCTGGCCACTAAAAGTGGAGCATCTCCCGTCACCACAACAGCTTTCCTGAAGAGATTATTGAATTTTCGCCGCCGATTCGATGGGTTGCTATATACCAGTGATCCCACTCCCGTGCCCACTGCATCAAAGTGTGCCAAGTCAAATTTACTGCGCCATCCTGATAATATCAACTGAAATTGCACCAAACTGCGCCAAAGTCGCATTTGGGAGAGTCTATCACCGGCAAGCCACGCGGGCGCATCAATACATGTGCACCTTGCTCTCGGGGCCACCAAAGTCACAATCACGTACCTATTTTATTATGCTGAATAAACAGTGTGTGCGTCCACCTCTCGCTTTCCAGGGTCAATAGCTGAAGGTTAAAAAAAATGGACATCATGGCATCGCATTTATTGCTTCATTTTGACGGGAGGGGTGGAGGGGAAGCTGCTGTGTTGCTTGAAGTCGCTGGCGCACGTGCAGTCTTGTGGCATAATGAGAGAGTTCGTGAACTTTATGTGTTACTAACATGTGCTGTGCGTTAAGATAGCTGACAGCACGAAAGATTTGGACACTAGAGTGATCATTGTCCCTTTAGCCCCTCTGCTTGCGCACTTCTGCCCGCGTGTAAAGCACGATACATCGGGAGATTTTATGGATTGGGACATTACACAAAACATGATGGCCAGTGAAGTGGCTGGGGGGGGGGGGGGGGGGGGGCACATCGAGAATGTGCCCCTCCCCACCTCTGAAATATTTTTTACCATGGCATATATAGCGCGAAATGACCTTTTGGATGTAACCCCTCCCCCCAATTTTTTAAATTTCTGGTTACACCCGCAACAATAGCAAAAATCAATCGAGGTGGTCCGTATAATTTCTATCCCATCAAAAACAATATGAATCTTGCCTTCGAGTTGTTGTAAGCATATGCATAAGGTACCCTGTAAGATTTTTTTTTATGCACTGGTTTCTAAAGGACATAGTAGGGGATTTTCGGAGTATAGGCAGAATTCCCTAGCCACAAAAAAATATTGCTGCAAAAGTAAAATGAAGTTTGTTAAATTGTGTAGTTTTAGAACAGAGATGAGTGCCGGAGGAGGTTGGCTTTCTGAGACTAGCTGAATGACGTCATAATACGCCCAGCAGTCTGATCAGTCATGAAGAAAAAGAACCCTTTTTATTCTTGAGGTCATATTAGGGAAATGCACTTGAGACTATGTGAGTCCCTAGTATTGTACGTCACAGCGTTTGTCTACCATATCTGCTGATAACCACATAGGTGTATTTATATTTTTCTTTCATGAAGTACAATTTTATTCAACCAGTATTTTATTGATTTGCTACAGAAATAATAACTGAACAAGTTTTTCTAGAATGTTCAACAGCATGACACCATTATTCTTGCATCCTAAACTTAAATAGGGAGTGCTTCTAAGATGATTAATTCCATGAAATTCGCAATGAATCTAAATATTTCTTGCTCTTCACAAGAACCTCAGAAAAATTTTTCTGCTCCAATGTGCTCCAAGTATGAAAACTTCGCTGTTCCAAAAATTGCTCCAAATCGGAAGACCTTGGTGGCATCACTGTATATACGTTTAATATAAAAATACTTGTCGCCCTTGAACTTTGAGGAATGACTTCTGTCATTATGTGATCATGTTCTACACCAAGGTAATGGGTTTTAATCGTTTGTTCTCTGAGAATTAGTGTCATGAGAATTCTATCATTATTGCACCGTCCCGTCCGGTGCCTTTGGATTGGTAGCTTGCCAGCTTGGCAAGGCCATGCATTTCCTGAAGCAAAAGAACCTCTAGTTTATTGCCGTGCTTAATATATTGTTGGAGAACGTATTTTTTGGTCCCGTATTTCCTACAGTTCCATTGCCAGATTTTAAACTGTCCCTTACCTAGTCTGCCCATATCTTGAGTCACGTGTGACGGAGGCATAAAAGTAGCTTGCTGTAGAATAACTATTGGTGCTGCCGTGGTTGGATTATCTGAGGAGTGCTGTTGCTGTTGCTGCAAAGTGGTACCATACGCGTTGTTGTCATTTCACTATTGGTACATAGTTCCATTGTTTTGACTCTGGTGCCGAGTGCTACAATGTCGATGGATTCCTTAGTCTGGGCCTCGACTAACTAGTATTTGATCTATCTTCCTTTGCTGTTCAATATCGTTTGCCTTGGCGGCGGCAGCAGATTTACGGCTGCCGGCGAGACTGGCTGCATAGCGTTTAGTGCCACATTTCGTGTCGGGGATGCCGGCTTGGCCTTGTGCCTCTCCGTGTAGCACCATGCGCAAAAAAGTGGCTGTAAAGTGGTGAAAAAAAAGGTCGGCCTACTTGGATGTTGGTATCCGCTCATTCCTAGTACTGAGGCAATTCCGTTGAGACCAAATTGATGCGGTTTTATGGTAATTGTCACGCAAAATCATTCGTAAACGCAGGAGTCGTGAAGTGCATCCGCACCCTCCGGCGACCACAGCGTCCCCCTATCTGAGAATTAGCCATTTCTTTATTGGCACAGTGCTATAAGGGCAGGGTTTCATTTCTGGTGCTGCCTCCTGTGACCTGTTTAGGTTTATTTTTTGAGATTCCCTAATGTTTTGAAAATTTACAAATACATTTAAAACTCGATCTAATTAAACAAAATCCTGTGAAGTTCCCAATGTAACGAAGTTTCATTCCCTGGCAGATGGCCATAGGGTTCAATGTTGTTATCAACCTGAATTAACAAACTGAATTGGCCACCAAATCCGATATAACGAAGCTTTTTTCTCCAATAACTGAATAAAAAAGCTGTCATTAGCTTCTAGTCTTGGCATAGATGAGTTTTTCTTTGAGTATCTGTCCTCATGCTGTCGCTTTACAACATCTAGGCACCGTTGCTTTATTTTTATAAGGATGCATGCTGCGCTTTGGCCCTGACCAACAGACACACAGTCAATAGTGCTGGTATGTACCTTAATACAGATAGCACTTATCATATCAATATTTTATTTATTTATTTTATTTATTCAAAATACCTTACAGACACAACAGGGCATTGTGTAAGTGGAGCATAGAAGGAATAGATACCCGAATTGGCACAATTTCCAATCAAACAATAGCATAAACTAATTGTCAATTATTATACAAGTCCTATCAGGAATAACAATGAGAAAATATTAATAATAATTTTAATAGGAACAGAATGGCATTGAAAATCAGATGAGTATACATGTGAGATAAGGACGTAAAACAAGCTAAAAAAGCAAACACAAATTCTGAAAAGACTTTCTATAATTCAAAAGAAAACATTGCTCAAGAATACACAACAGAACTGAATGGCATGTTAGTATTTAAACCTTCAAAAAAAAAAAAGTCTAAAGTAAGAGAAAAAAAGAAGCAAGATACTAGTAGTGAATAAACACGTAGGGTGCTGAAATGTATAAAACGAGCAGTTAATTCTGGAAATGGGTGAGTAGAAGGTGCTGGAATTTTTCTCGATTGCGTTCAGCTACGATTTCATCTGGAAGGCTGTTCCACATGTGAATGACAGGGGGGAGTGCAGATGAGTTAAAAATGTATGTTTTACCATACTCAGCCTCCCTATATCCAGGCCACCGTTGGGCTGCCCTCGCAGGTTTTTCATATGCTCTGTAAAAGCTTTTGAGTGTTGCTGTGTTACTATCTTACATTGTGACGGACAGGAAAATTCCTTTCTCAATTTTACTATCTGCCTGGTTTAAGGAAATAATTTGAACGTGGTCATCACCTTGTTAAATCAAACTTCAGCTGACCGAACCAGCGAACTTGGAAGGTTCAAAGGTTGCAGGTGTGGTCCATGACAAGTGATCTTTTACTCCAGCTTTCTTTCTTAGTATTTTTACATTATAGTTACTTCTATAATAAAATCCCCTATACTTTCTTCGGCATCATTGTCTGTTAGTTCTCATTCGTATTTTATCTAACAAAAAAAACTAGCCCTTAAATTTACACTTCTTTCCTTCTTGTAATCTACTCATTTAACATAACGTACTTAGACTGGCTTTTTTGTTCATGCAGGTAGCATTCGGCGGGTGCAAGAGGGCCTCAGTCACCCATTGATCCCATGTGGCTGGCACTGGGGTGGCTCTGTCAGTGACCTGCCTCCACTCCTGGTGCAGCTGCTGACCGACATTCCCAATGGCCAAGCATCAGCGTGATGGCTTCTTACCTAACTCCAGAAACAGATTCGGTGAGGCATTCATTCATACTTTTTTTCCCACTGTGGACCCTTTTACTAAGAGCACCTAACTTCATACAGTGGAAAATTTGAAATTCTCCAAATCCAGATAGAACAGTCTGCAAAATACTGTGGCAAGACTCAGCAGACATCAGGCATATATAACAGTTTATTTATTAAACACATTTAGCCTTTAGACATACTTGGAATAATTTAAAACTGAAAAAAGTTTTAAATAATGGCAAGTATGTTTAAATTAATGCTGCGGTGGTCTAGTGGCTAAGGTACTCACTCGGCTGCGGACCCACAGGTCACGGGATCGAATCCCGGCTGCGGTGGCTGCATTTTTGATGGAGGCGAAAATGCTGTAGGCCCGTGTGCTCAGATTTGGGGGCACATTAAAGAACCCCAGGTGGTCGAAATTTCCGAAGCCCTCCAATACAACGTCTCTCATAATCAAATGGCGGTTTTGGGACGTTAAACCCTACATATTTATCTATCTATCTTAATTTAAAACTCAAGGGAGCTGTTGTGGCTGAGTGTCATGGGTTGCTTTTTATTTCCTTCGAGAGCATGATGCTTGTGTAACACGTCACCATAGCAACTCAGTTATTTTTTGTGCATCAACAGAGTTGATTGGCATTGATAGGTACTATCACACTCAGTATGAGCTGCACCACGCAAACATGTGGCCAAGCACACTACAAGTTTGTACCATGGTGCCGATCGCGGAATATTTGTGAGTTATCGGGAGAGAGTGTGGCTGTTCTTGCAAGTGCACATTGCCCCCGCTTGCGTGCTTTAATCCTTGAAATTATTATATTAAAAATTATATTTCCACATGGCAAAACGAGAGCAAGCGTGAAAAGTTATTTTTTCGAAGCTAAAATAACCACAGAACAGAACGATGGCGGTCATGAAAAGAAGTCGAAGTGATGCACAATCTCTCCTTCAGGGTAGCTCATCCTGAGCATAATACAGTGGAATCCGCTGTTACGTTCCTCACTGCTGCGTTTTTCTGGCTGTTACATTGTATTTCATTGGTCCCGGCATAGGTCTCATAGAATCCCATGTACTACGAACCTCCCTGTACCGTCGTAGCTGTGGGCCCATTCCCGTATGATACGTCGCAACTGGGCACGCCGAACCAGCACTGCGCACCGCCATTTTGATTTGACGTTTCAGTCTTGGTCTGGCTTGACTACGAAACTGGATAGAAGAAGCCACAGGTGAGTTGGAGAGGCCACTACAATGTGGCCATCAAGTCAGAAAGCTATAGAGCTATCTCCATCATGATCGCCGTCACTTGCGTGCCACTGGCTCCACTGCACACAAAGGAACGCTCATTATCAGCTGGGCTCCGCACGATGAGCTCACTGCTGTCATCGTCATGTGCTAATCAGCCCTGATGGCGTCGCGCAAACGGAAAGCGCTTTCCCATTAAAAAGAAGCTCAATGTTCTTCACGCAGTCTACAAGCATCCAGTGCGAAAAAGGGTCGACATGGCCAAAGATCTTGGTCTGCCACCGTCGACGCTTAACGGCATCATTGGGAAGCGTGCCGAGATAAAGGGGAACGTGGCGCTCTTCGACCCGAAAGCCAAGCAGGTTCGTGGCGCCAAGTATGAGACCCTTCTCAGTTGGTTTAGACAAGCTCGCGCCACTGGTATTAACTTCGACGGCAGCATTTTGTGCGTGAAAGCGATAGAGGTAGCCGACAGACTGGGCATCACTGACTTTGCTGCGTCAAATGAATTAATAGACCATTTCCGAAAGAGGCAAGGTATCGCTTATAAGACTGTAAGCGGAGAAGCCACAAGTGTCAACATCGAAACAGTTGACGATTAGAAATGGACACTGTCATCTGTTATTGAGGGGTACGAGCCTTGTGACATTTATAACGCCGACGAAACGGGCCTTTTTTGGGGGGGGGTGTAGCCATCCAAATCATTAAGCCTAAAGGGTGAAGCCCGCCACAGAGGCAAATGCAGTGAAAACCGGCTGACAGTGCTCCTGTGCTGCAACATGGATGGATCAGACAAACGGAAGTAGTGGGTGATAGGCAAGTACAAGAACCCACGGTGCTTGAAGAACATTCGCCTACTGCCATGCCACTACAAAAGCAACCGTCATGCATGGATGACCTGTGCTTTGTTTGAGGAGTTTCTGTGCTACTTTGATAACAAAATGGGTGCACAAAGTAGGAGTGTTCTCCTTTTCCTGGACAACTGTGCTGCCCACCCGAGGGATCCTCCATTTCTACAGAACGTCAGGCTTGTGTTTTTCCCTCCAAACATTACAAGCCACTTACAACCACTGGATGCCGGTGTCATAAAAATCCTCAAGCATTTCCACAGAAAAAGCATCGGGAGGCGCTGTCTTGCATGTATTGATCGCGGACAGTAGCCTACGACAATTTCCGTACTTGACACCATGCACTACATCGCTTCAGCATAGACTGCAGTGAGCGCGTCAACTGCGCAGCACTGCTTCGCGAGGTGTGGCTTCCGTATGGACGGCGAACTGGACAAAGCTGATGAACCAGAAGCAGCCTTTTGTGAACAGGAGCTCAACGAGGGTATGAATGCACTGGGTGCCACAGGAGTGACCTACGACAACTTTGTCTCCGTGGATGCTGCCCTCGTGACGTCGGAGTGCAAGAGCATCACAGAGATTGTCGCGGACTCGGTCGCAAGCTAAGCCGGCGACTCTGGTGACACTGACGAGCCACAAGAGTCCGGGCAGTTGGCCGATCCAAGTTTTGTAGAAGCTGTCGTGGCCCTGGACCTTCTCCGCAGGTACGTCACACCTCAAAGCTACACTGAGAGTAATGGAGCCTTTCACGTTATTGAAAAGTGCATAGTACTCTACAGCGAACGTAAGAAGCGGCAGTCAAGCATGCTCGATTTTTTTAAAGCTTGTTGAAATAAATTGTTCGACCTCAATGTGGCTCTGTTTTATTTATTTTCGAAGCTTTCCTCACTCTAGCATTTTTCCGGCTGTTACATTTTTTTTTTTCCCCGGTCCACTGAAAAACGTATGAATGGGGTTTCACATTACTAGCTAAAGACAGTGAAAGAAAGTGTTGAAGTCAGGTGTTTCGTCTTTGCCCGGAATGCCGGAGCATCAGAATTTATGCCTGACTTCTCTTATTTGGAAAGGAATGGTGCTAAGCCCCCGTTTCTAGATTTGAGTTCTTGGGCAGAATTCAGGTACACATGCTGTTCAGCTGCTAGGGCTAGCAATTCTTTCTTAAATTCCACGCACAGCTGCAAACATTGATAGCTTTTTTGAGAGGTGCACGACTTGCAGAGGATCCAAGCACTGCACACTCTTGAATACTAACTTCTTAGTATTGCAGACTTCAAACTGTAGCAACCTCGCTACTCACCGTAACAAAAGATCACCGCCGGCTCAACTAGCAAAGCATTTAGCGCGTCGTGGCAAAACAGACAGTGTTCAATCTTAACAAAACACACAAACACTTTATTGCCTTTGGCGGCACCCCAAATGGAGTACAACGTTCGCTCCTGAAGCGCGGGGGGCCCAGGCTCCCGCATGCAGATGTTCACCAAAAAGGGGACACCGCGAGCACGTCGCAGCTGGCAATGGCGAACTGTGACACGCCTGTCAGGAAAAGGCCCCTCGTGGCTATGCTACGCACTCTCGCGATGGCCTCTGGGCCTGGTCGTGAGAGTTGGGGCAAAGCTCGTACGCGTAGGCTACTGGCAAGTGCGGCTTGGCATAGTACGATCACATCAAACACTAAGCACCGCTGTTTGGCTTAGCGTACGGAACTGGAGCGAGCACAAATGTAAACACACCCATCGAGGATGCCTAAGCACCCAGGCACTCTACAGACTTACAATTCCCAAGGGGGACGTGGACGAAGAAAAACACGTTCTTACCATGCACCATCCGAGGAAAGAGAGAACCTTCCCGACACACACGTAACTCAGTCGCACTGATTCTCACAGTTCTGAGAACACACGTGGCGCCATCTATCGACATGCACCGTCACAAAAGCATGGGAGAAGGAAATGGAGTAGCATAACGGCAAAAATTCCCGCGAAATGGTCACAACCACGTCTCAGATCCCCGCAAAATATTCTGTAGTAGGCTCTAGATAATTATAACTATCATAATTCAAAAATTTTAGTTAATTCAAACAAATCTTAAATTTTTGGTTGGCCCACTATGTTTTCAATGTATTTGAAAGCTGCTTAACTAAAATTACCCTACTGTGCAAATTCAGTCAATTCAAATAATTTGCTTATTTATGCCTGGAAATATCTGCTGCCTTGGTTGCCCCTTGTTGAACATTCATGTTTTCAGGTGACTAACGGTTGCACATAAAGCCAAGTGCCTACTTATAAAGCGGCCAAAATAGCCAAACCACGTGCACCAACCACCACATGACAGGGGGGGGAGGGGCTGGCCTTTATTATTCAAAGTTATAGTGCATCTAAGACAGGACAAAGCGAGAAGCACAACACGCATACACAACGCTTCATTTGTTAAGTGCCGAATGCCTCCCTCAGCCACTTTCGTAGCAGTACATTAGTGTCATGTGGGAAAGCATCCTAAGATTAGTAAGGAGGCTGCAAGTTGCTGCCAGAAACACACGTCTGTTATTTACACACATGTGCACACGTATAATAATGAGCACCAGTGTGATCGCTTATGTCTAAAAGAATTCTCTGATGTTGCTGCAGTGCTGGGAAACAATGAACATCATAACAATAGTTTCTATGTTGCCCTGAGTCATATTTATAAGAATATCTGATTATTCAAACAAAATCCTGATGTCCCCTCGAGTTTGAATAATCGAGAGTGCACTGTAGTGCTTTGCTAGCTGCTTGACTTGAAGGCTTCATTTTGTTTGCACTCCGATGGACCTTGTCACGTGCATTATTCTCATTATTCAGTTAGGTTTCAAATTCGTCCAATGCAGCTGCTTCCTTATACATCCCCAGAGTATAAAGAAATCATTGCATGATTCATGACAGGCTA